TCAGATTGTTTTCCCGGTTTCTCAATTCCACCATAGACAGGTAAGCCTGCTGATCACTAATGTGCTTGTGTAGTGGCCTTACCTCCCCTTTTATAGCCTCAACTTTTGATTTGCTTGTTCTGCTTTTTCATTGGCTGCTTCAGCCAGTCTCCGATTTTCCACAGTTGCTTCCTTGAGATTCCCAATAACTTGTGTATGTTGTGCAACTTGGTCAGACAATTTAGTAATAGAGGATGTGGCTTGATCTATTTTTGCCGATTGGTCATCCACCTTCTTGTTCAATATTGCAAATTGTTCTAGCATTTGTTTTAAGAAGGTATCTGATCCTCCCTCTGCCATATCCTCTGATGCAGGCTGTGCAGTTTCCTTTTCTTGTACTCCCAGAACAGCTGGGACAGATGATCTACGTGACTGAGTAGTCAAAGTTGTTTGCACAAGTTGGGCTTGTCTTGCTTTCGTTTTAGCAGATCTTGTTTTCGGTTGGCCACTCATTCCACACCTGTCTATGAGTCAAGGTCAAGCTGTATATTGTCCCATGGGAAGGACAGTTCCAAAATGTAAATAACAGAGCAGCAGATAGTCCAAATAAAATTTGTTCCCAGGCACTTGTAATTCCAGAACTCCACTAGGGGGAGTATTACTGTAGTTCATAGAAAGGAAAGAACTTTATCCGCCATTAAAGTCCCTGCAGCCCCAAAACAGTCTAATTTACCAAAAGTCCTTCATAAACTTTTTTAGCTTACAGAGCACTTCCCAAGCTACCACAAAGTCTCAGATAAAAGGTGCCAGTAACAGTTTATTTAATTGTATCTTACCAGTATCACTCAACTGTAACAGTCTCTATTTTGGATACAGTTTCCGCAATGACAGCTCTCTTTTTTTCCTGTCAGTCCGAGGTTTGATTCTTAATTCTTTATAATCCATAAAGGGAGGAAAGTCCCATTTAAAGTCCAAAACACTTAGAAATAAAAATCTTTTCTCCTTCTTTTTAAAAGCCAATTCTATCAACACGATAGTCCCAAATTTATAATCTTTTAAAGCTGCTTCCCGCTTGTTAAAATCTTTGCCTTTGATCTTTAAAGCACTGCCGGAAGACGGACTTCCTGTTTATCGTCTCCCGCTTTCAGCCAAATTTAACACTTTTAGTTCCAAAATGATTGATCCTTACTCACGAGTAGGTAGTTTACAGCCTGATGTTCCAAGAAGAAAGGTCGGCGCTCATCAGCAGCAGCCGCGCGGCTTCGCTCCCGCAGAAAGAGCGATGAACTCACAGCACCGCTCCCCCTTCCACGTTTCCAGAGCCCCTTACGGGGTTCCTTCTTCGTTTTTGGGGTCGCTCCTGGTGCCCGCCGAGTCCCACGGCCACGGGCTCACTCTGCCCGTGGTTTTTCTTAATGGGTCACCGCTGTGCCGCAGCGGACGACCCTTTTCTGCGGAGCCCCTCTTCAGAAACCGAAGAGGACCGCCATTGCCGTTTCGCGCCGCCTCCAGGAAGTGTGCCTGGCAGTATTCCTGACCAGGCTGGCTGATGTAGTCTCTGGAGTATTGTTGGTGGATCCTAAAATGATATTCCTGACAACTTACAGACTTAACTTAACATATAGAATAAGAGAAAAAGAAGAACATAAATTTGAAGAAGATTGGAAAATGTTTATTGAATATATGGAAAATATTGGTGTACAGCTGGAAACTCTGGCAACATTAAGATAAATTCAACAGTGTAAGTAAGTTTTGACGGATGTAATAATGGAAAACCGATTAGTATAGTTTTTGTAAAACATGCAGGGATATAAGATATGTAAAATGAACTATGGAAAGAGAAGAAGGGAAGTCACTGACATCTTAAATATGTAAAATGTTTATCTGAAATTGTAAAACAGAAAATTTAATAAGAATCATATAAAAAAATTAAAATGATATTCCTGGGTGACTTGCCCCCCTCATCTTGGTGCCCTGTGCGTAGGAACCAGCAACACAGCCCTAAATCAAATGCTGGAAGATGGCCTTGATTGGTCAGCTTCAGGCATCCTTGAAGAACACAGATTATTAAAATGCATTCCAATCTGGGTCCATGCCTGGCCAGAGAACTGAGGGACCCTTGGTGTCCCCTATGCATGACTTTTGCATGACCTTGCTCCTGCTTCTTCATAGAGTCCAACAATCCACACAAAAGGTTGTTACAGCCTGGGCCATTGCCCAGATGCAGTGGTGAAATGGATGGGGGAAAACAAGCTGAGGCTGAATCCTGGCAAGTCAAAGGCACTGTGAGTGAATAGCTCCCATGTTCAAAAAATTGGTCAGTTGCCTACCACAGACGGGCTTGTGCTCATCCTAAAGGAGCAGGATTGCAGTTTAGGGGTGCTTCTGGATCCAGCTCTGTCACTGCAGGCTCAGGTAGCCTCACTGGCTAGAAATGCCTTTAACCAGCTGCAGCTGGTTCAACAGCTTAACTGAGAAAGTTTTGCTACAGTAGTTCATGTGTTGGTTACTTCAAGACTGGATTACTTCAATGCGCTGTATGCGAGGTTTCCCCTGAGCTTGATCCTGAAACCAGTTAGTATAGAATGCTGGAGCATGATTGTTGACAGTTGTGAGAACTTGTCAGTTGTGAGAACTTGTCAGAGATTTGTACTTGTTGCCGATTTGCTACAGGCCAGATTTCAATGTGCTTCTATTAGTATATAAAGGCCTTAAGAGCTTGGGACCAGTTTAAAAGGCAGTGCATAAATTTTATGAAACAAATAAACAAATGTGTCAGTGTTGAGGGTTCACTGGAGACAGGTGAGGAGATGTGTGAGGCCTTATTGCCCGCTTATTTACTGCCTAGGCTCAGGGAACTTGTGGTTTCTTAAGCGTCCTGATCCTGTGTGTAGGGATGATCGTGGAGTGGGGAGTGGGGTCTGGAGGGAGCAGCCACAGTCTGCCTGCACGTGTGACCTTGGGGGGTGGGGCACACCCCCCCCTCACAGACAAAGCCACAGCTGTCTGAACATCGTACCCTTTGTCTAACCTTTTGCGGTCTCAGTATTCTGCGGTGTCCTGTCTGTAACCTTTGTCTGTGAGACCTTTTGTCTCCTTCATCATACACTGTGCAAGGGGGAAATGACGTGGTGAAAACAGGTGTCAAAATAGCTTTGTACCACCCCTCGATCTCGGGACTGGAAGATGTGTAAAGGTCACTGCCCAAAATGTATCTGCCTGAGTTTGCATATTTGTGTCAATAAAAGGAGGCTCCACAGGGCTGGCCGGCAGCTTGCATGCAGCCCACCTGTGCGCAGCTCACCTGCATTATCAACTCCTGCCTCATGTCCATCACTTCACCTGTGAATTTGGGCTGGTAGTAGGGATGGGTGCATCTGTCCATTCTGATGTCTCTGCTTTTCACTTTTCCAAGCTTAAGTTCAGTTCACATTTCCACACCAGTTTGTGATTCTTTTTCCTTTTCTGTTTTTTTTTAAAAAAGGCCTCATGAAAATGCATGAGAATTTGAGTGGAAATTTCTCCAAATATTCTCCTGACATTCAATTATAATATACACATTTTTACAAAATTATCATCCTGTATCTTTGCTATTTTCAATAATATGTGCATTTCATGCACACTTGGTACTAGAATATCTATTTCTTTCTCTTTTTTGCACATTGTTTGACTGGAGACCTGCTTTGCAAAATTATGAGAAGTGTGGATTTCAAAGAATGGCTACAGTTCCAGTTCATGCATTGCTTCAGAAAGTGCAGATTTGGTAGGTTTGCCTTTAAATGCAAATTGAATTTCTCCTCCTTCAGAGAACCAGTGATTTCAACTCAGGTACTCACAGTTCAAATCTAGCACACTGGCATGAAGCAAATTAGGCCATGGGTTGCATGTAGCTCTAGGCAACTTGGGCCTAGAGCTACACGCAGCCCATGGCCTAATTTAATTGGCTCTTAGTCAATTTTCAAAAGTAGGGGTACCAACTTGAATAAAATATTGGGGGCAAGGTAAGCTCCACCCTGCATAATCAAGCACATGACCCAGCACATGCACACCATTTGAAGGGCAATGCCCATCAACTTTTGGGAGGCAGCTCCTTCAGATATTTTATTAGGAGGGGGACTTAAGGCATCTCAGTCCCTATGAGTTAGCTTCTATGTTCAAAAGTCCCGTAGAAGTTCAGACCTCTGGGAAGGTCACAGGAACACAGGAAGTTGCTTTATATTGAAACACCCTTTGGTTCATCAGCTTAGCTTTGTCTACATTAAGTGGCAATGACTTCCAAGGGACTGAGGCAAGGGTGTCTCCCAATCCTATGTAGAGGCATAGCGTGGGGGGCATGGGGGGGTCAGGCCCCCAGGTTCAAACAGGTGCCCCCACAGCAGACTCCTTCATTGGAGCTGGGCTCCATGCAAGAAGGAGCTGCACCTTGGTTGTGGCACTCATGCCTGGTGCAGCTCCACCCCTGGGTCAAGCCTGACCTGGGGGAGGGGAGAAGATGAGTGGGTGTCAGCACTGTTGCCCACCCTCCTTGGACATTGAGCACCTCACACCTGGCCACAGCAGCTCTCCTGCTGGGGTACGTCTGACCTAGCAGTGGAGAGCAGCCCTCCTCAGCCATGGCAAGACATGGCAGATCACAGCACCTCCGTTGCCAGGTCAAGTCTGACTCTGCGGTGGAGAGCAGGAGAGTCAGCCGTCATGGTGCCGCCCACCCTCCTTGGCTGTGAGGCACCTTGTGCCCAGCTGTGGTAGTTCTGCTGCTGGGTCACATCTGACCTGGCGGTGGAGAGCAGCCTACCTTGACTGTGGCAAGGCGTGCCTGGCCACATCAGCTCTGCCTTGACCACCAGGTCAGGCCTGGCCCAGTGGCGGAGAGAAGGGGGAGAGTGGGCAGCAAATCCACCTCCTACTCTCTTTGGCCTGGCTGTAGCAGCCCCTCTTCTACACTGAACTATGGCACGCTTCCCTTGGGGGGGGGGGTCGGCGCCCTGCATGCCCACCCTGGGCAGCATGGGCATATGCTCCACAGCTGGTTCCAGAGATTGAACCAGGGAACTTCTGCTTGTAAAGCAGATGCTTTGCCACTGAGATGCAGCTCTGTTTTCCATTTCCCAGCAACCCAGTGGCTGGGAATGAAGACAAAAGAAAGAATGAAGGATGTGGAGGGAGAGAGGTATGGCAGAAAGAAGGAAGTATAGCAGAGAGTGGGGGAGGGATGGAGGGGGAAGAGAGAGAGAGAGAGAGAGAGAGAGAGAGAGAGAGAGAGAGAGAAGGTGGTGATGGGAAGCAAGGAAAGAGCCCCCATCCAAATTTACCTATAGCCATGGGTCCACCTACAGTTAGCATCTGACCCCAACAGATTCAGAAAGAAACGTTCCCCCTTCCTTCAAAAAGAAATCCTGTTCCTCCAGTAGGAATTCCTTTATGCTCCCATTATGGGTGAACACTAGCATTTGTTCCTTTCTACTCCTGCTCCTTTCTACAGAAGTGGTGTTTTTTACAGTTTTGGAAATTTCCATTAAGAGCTGAGTTCTCCAGGGAACCTGACCTGAGATATGGCTCCTGTGTTGGGTTACAGACTGGTGTGGTCTCTGCTCAGAGGGGAGGCAAAAGAGATCTCTTGTTTCCCTTTGGTCTATCTTTGATGCACAGCTTCAGCCTTGATGTGGAGTGAAAAATTGAAATGAGGACAGTTCAGTCTACAGAATGTCTGTGAAATTAATGAGCCCCTTCGCCTCCAACACCTGATAATTACATCTTTCAATTAAACGAACTCCCTTGCTGTCCGGGATCTTATAAATTAACTCAAAGCCATGCATCTCCTGAAGACTGCCAAATCTTTTGCAGCCCCTCCCCAAAATAGATGTATGTTGCCAACAGCATCAAGTAGGAGAAGGGAAGCCTGCAAGCCCAATCTACTTTTATGACCAATATTTGCCTGGCTGAAACTGGACCAAGGAATGAGCCACATGCAACGTCCGGGATACTGCTTTGCATGCACACTACTGGCAACCCAAATCAACATGTATTGACTTGTTAGTGTAATAAAACCCACTAAGATGTGAATGTGAAATTTTAGTTGAAGATCAACTCATATATGCTTAAAATTAGAGACAAACTTCAGGAAATTAAGATTGCAAGAGAGGAAGAGAAGGCAAGTCTGGTTATTCCACCACAGACCTGACCCATCCTTGAGGCAAGGTGAAGTGGATGCCTCTGCACTCCCTAGCCCCTTCCACCGACAGGCAAGGAGAGGTGCGCAGACAGGGACAGAATGCACAAAAGGTGAAAATCACCCTCTGCACTCTCTATCCCCAACTGCCGTCAGGCGAGTCCTGCGTGCTGGGCAGGGGTGGGATGTATAGAGGGCGAAGATCATGCACTGTGCCCCACACCTGCCTGGCACAAGAGCATTCACCCATCAGCGGCTCACTGAGGTTCAGCTCTGAGGGCCTTTTGGCTGTTTCCTCACTACGAGATGTGAAGCTACAGGGAACCAGGCAGAGGGCATTGTTGGTAGTGCCCCCCCCCCCCGGAATGCCCTCCCATCAGATGTCAAAGAGATAAACAACTGTTTGACTTTAAGAAGACATCTGAAGGCAGCCCTGTTCAGGGAAGTTTTTAATGGTTGCTGTTGTATTGTGTTTTTAATATTTTGTTGGGAGCCACCCAGAGTGGCTATGGCAACCCAGTTAGATGGGTAGCATATAAAAATAAGAATAAAAATAAAAATATTGACTGTGACTAGCCATGTTCTATGTCTTGGTATTAACATACCTAGATATCTAATAGATTCAGAACAAATCTAGAATTGATATTCCTTGAATCAATCTGTAATCAGATTTTGACCTCCACATACTGTTTATAAATTTTGTTAATTGCCTTTTCAGTGTCTAGTGATATGATTACAAACTTTAGTGATATGATTACAAACTTTATTTCTTTATTTTTATTTAAATCTACCAAATCCACCACTAATCTAATATTATCTGCAGCATGTCTTGTCTTTATAAAGCTGGTTTAAACCTCCTGATAATCACCACTATTACTTGCTGACAGGGGTGCCAACTTGAATACTGGGGGTGGGGGGGCAGGTAAGCGCCACCCTACATAATAAAGCACATGATGCAGTGCACAAACACCATTTGAATGGGAATACCCTGTTAGGATTCATTCCCCGTGTTGCAGTCATGGGATTGGTTTTATCACATGACGGCGTATGTTTTCATTCCACATTGTGGGAAGTGATGGAGACAGGATGTTTATATTACTGTGTTTCCATGATGTAGGACATTTGTCCTTTTGTTCTCTCTTTTTGCTGTCTGATGTTGAAGAGGAAGGAGCTGAGTTACGATGCTCCGAGTGTGTATATGTAAATAAACGTAGTTTAGCCAAATTGCTGCACTACTGAGTCTGAACGCTGACTGCCTATACTCTGCTGATCCTGAAGTGTGCTGATGCATCTTAGGTATCAGTCGCTGTGATGTTCGAACTGGACAAAGATGTTGAATCTCCCGAACAAACCACCAGGAGGGAGAGGACATGCTATTTGGGCATATGTCTCTACCGGACTCCTACGCATGTGCAGGACCTCCTGACATACCCATCAATTTTGTGGGGGCCTGGCTCGGCTCCCTCAAATATTGTATTGTGGGGGCTGAAGCCCCCATAGCCCCTAGTAGTTGGATCCTATCCTTGCTGAATTCTGTTTGCTAGGATCACTGTTAAAATCTTTGTTTCAACATTAATCAGGGATATAGGCTGATAATTTGCACATTGTGTATGTTTCTTACTGGTTTGGGAATAATTGTAATATAAGCTTGATTAAATCTTGTTAATAAAATATCTTTATCAACTATCTCATCATACAATTCATGAAGTTTTGGTACTAATAGATTTAAATATGTCCTATACCTTTCAATGAGGGGTCCATCCAATCCTGGTATTTTGTCACTTGTCATTTTAAAAATAGTTTGTTTAATTTCTGCGTCCTATATTGGTGCTGAAAACATTTTCTTTTCTGGTTTAATATATAATTCCAAGTAAAAAGCTTTTTTTAATGGCCATTAATATCTTTTGAGTTTTTATAGACTTCACCTTTATCACCTTTAATACCTGAGATAAATGTTTATTCTTTTGTTTCAAATTATTTGCCAAACTTTTCCTGGTTCTTCACCATTATCCCAGTATTTCTGACTTACACAGGTGAGCATAAATTCTATTTACTGAGACAACATATTATTTAGTTTAAATTTCCTTTTTCATATTTCCTAATATACCATAGTGGTTGGATTCCTAACCATGTGCACCCAAAGGTCTTTAAGTTCTTCTTTCAAGAGCTTTTCCTTTTTATTCTTTTATTTTTATATGATGTGTATGTAATAATTCAACCATGAATATATGCTTTATATGCTTCCCATTCAAATAGTTGGGCAGATGATGTACCAGAGTTCAAAATATTGTGCAGTCTCTGTCTACATTTGTTGTATAAATTCTTTATCATGAAGTAGGGAAACATTAAAATACCATTTTTTCTTACTTATGATATTCAAGATAACTGCATTATGATCAGATATATAGCTAATGCCAATTCTACAATCCTGAATTTGATGATACAGCAATGGTTATGTTAAGAAGTAATCTAATCCAAAAAAACTTGATGAAGAACTGATATAAATGTGTACTCTCTTTTGGTATGATACCTTAATCGCCATGGGTCTATTAAATTCTTGCACATATTTTTGATTGCTTCACTAAAGATGTTTTCTTCCTTATCAGAATATTTCTATTTAACTAAATATTTCTATTTAACTTAGGATCCAATATTTCATTTAAATCACCACTGATTATCAGATAGTCATAAGTACATTGATTCAGCTTTGGAAAGCTTTCATGGAACGTATCAGGAGAATTCATGTCCATATAAAGTGGAAACTTGGCTCTCGAACTTAATCTGTTCTGGGAGTCCGTTCGAAACCAAGGCATGGCTTCCAATTGGTTGCAGAAGCTTCCTGAACTCAAGCAGAAGCTGTGTTGGTCAACCGGCTTCCGAAAAATACTCACAAATAAGAAACATGGCAATATATTTATTGAATGCAACTCGGTTATTGGGAAGCAAAAGAAAAAATAGAAAAGTAAAAACAAAGGATATCAATAAAAAGGGAAGGTATGGGGAAAATGCAAATGATTTTTTTAAAAAATGGGGGGCTCTTTATTGTATGAAACAGTAAAAGAAGGAAAAACAAACAAAACTAAACTAAATACAGTAGGTAGTGCAAGCATTTTATTATTATTATTTAAAAGATGACTTTCAGAATGTGGTGGCATCATTCACAAAATCCAGACACTGCCAGGATATTAAAAGTATTTCTGAGTCTTCAGGAAAAGTTCTTTAGCTGGAAATAGTTCAAGTAATTTATAGGTGCTGACCTTCAAAATTAGTACGCAAGGCTCAGCCCAGCATTCTTCCCTGATGGACTGATAAGCTCATACAGTAATGGCAGAACTCAAAGTGTTTACTTTCACTTTCTTTTTTTAATTTTTTTTAAAAAAATTTCATTAATAGCAATCCAATGAAAGCCACATTAATACAATGCCAAATCATGCCAAATCACAATACAATAAAAAGAGAGAATTAAACAGTTCCGAATTAAACATTTTTCGATGACTTTCCATGTTCCGACTATCAGGAGTTGATGTTATTACTTGATCCTGCGCCAGTTCTCTTAATTAGTCCAAGTTCCACAATTCCGATCTTAATCCTTTGTTGTAGCAGCAGTTCGCCATGCCGGAAGTCTTCTTTCACTTTCTTTTTGCTTTCTTCATTTGTGCTGAGCTTGATCATAATAGTAGAGACTTGTTGTGATGCAGAATATAAGAGACTCTCAATAGTTGAGATTCCAGGAGGGTGATATGTTTATCTGCAATGTTCTGACACACTTGTGCATGTTCAAACACTGTTCAAATTCATCTATTTTTAATACATCTCTGAAAGTGCATTTTTAACATCATCCGTGTCAGATTTAATCTCAGCCAGATCTTTCTGTATTGGTTAGAGAACAGATAAAATCTCTTGTAAGGCACTAGGGCTCAAGACTGTTTCAGTCGCCTCCATTGTCGGTGACTAGTGTAGTTGGGCTTGCAACAGCTCCCCCTGTTTCCTTGTGTTATTCATGTTATTCATGATAAAACCACTTCAAGATTAAAAGTAGTGTAGAAAAGCAGAGGGAGTATTTACCCAATTAGTAACGGTTTTTGCTCACACGGTTTGTTAATCAAGTTATCCCAAAGACAATTAGCACTCACAGGAGAGGGGAGTCACTGCTCATGGCGCCATGTGCAGACCAGAAATGACACCATCGACTCTCTAGAGAGAACAGCTCCTTCTGGCCCCCCTCCCCCTTTGACTGTTTCATCCCAGATGATAACTATACAATAACCTGGCCACTTTAAGAACTGTTGCATAAGTTTGTTGTTTTCTTCCTCCCTCTCCATTCCCTTTTCCTTTTGTGTTGAGTCTTTTAGATTGTAATCCTGAACCTGGGAACTGTCTTGTCTTATTGATCTGTAAGCAGCTCTGAGAGCCTTTTTTGGCTGAATATTGCTGTTAAAAATGCTTTAAACAAACAAACAAAATATATAAATAAATTTGTTTACACTGTGAATTATTTAAGAACTGAGTCCAGCAAAGGCAAGAAGTAGTAGCCGGAGCAACTATTGTAAATAATGGTAGTCAGGGCTTTTTCTCAGGGAGAACTCACAAGACCTCAGTTCTGGCACCTCTCAGGTGGGTGCCATTGCCATTCTAAGACAAAGAGGGAGGTGTTCCTGGTGAGTTCCAGCAATTCTTTTTCCTGGAAAATAGTACAGATGATAGTGATAATTTTATAGAGTGCTTTTTTGTTAAGAACTAAAATAGCCATTTAATGTCATCATTTTATAGCCAACAGCCTTTGATGAGCAGGAAAAGCCACTTTTCCTGTGGTTGATCGCAACTGAGGTTGATTGCAACTGAAGAAACAACTGAATATAGGGGTGGTTAACCATTCCCCTCCCTATTGCCACACCACTATAAATTACCTCCCTGTCTAGTGGAACAGCTGGAGTTCAGTGGCAGAGCAGCTACTTTGTGCATAGGTTCATAGAACTGCAGAGTTGGAAGGGATCCATAAGATCATCTAATCCAACCTCCTATAATGCAGGAATCTCAACTAGATCATCCCTGACAGATGGCCACCCAACTTCTGCTTAAAAACATCTAGTGAATGAGAGCCCCCCTCCACCTCTGCTGGAGTCAATTCCACTGTCTAACAGCTCATACTGTCAGAAACTTGTATGCTTGTAGCTGGGCAGTGAACCTGTTGCCCTCCAGATGTTGGACTAAAACTCTAATCATCCCTGATCACCTGCCATGCTGGCTGAGGCTGGTGGAAGGAGCTGAGAAGAAGAAGAAGAAGAAGAAGAAGAAGAAGAAGAAGAAGAAGAAGAAGAAGAAGAGAGGAGGAGTTTGGATTTGATATCCCGCTTTATCACTACACGAAGGAGTCTCAAAGTGGCTAACATTCTCCTTCCCTTCCTCCCCCACAACAAACACTCTGTGAGGTGAGTGGGGCTGAGAGACTTCAGAGAAGTGTGACTAGCCCAAGGTCACCCAGCAGCTGCATGTGGAGGAGCGGAGACGTGAACCAGTTCACCAGATTACGAGTCCACTGCTCTTAACCACTACACCACACTGGCTCTCAGTGGCAGCAACAGATCGAAGCTCACCCAGTGAACTTCATGGTCAAGTAGCGATTTGAACCCTGGACTCCCAGGTCCTAGTCTGGAACTCTAACTTTCTTTTTACTTATTTTGTTTTTTAGAAACTGAGAACATAACCTGTGTCATACAACCCCTGGGGTAGGTTACAGAAAATGTCAAGAAAAAGCAGCAACAAATGCAGCACTCTTATTGCTTATTTACTGCTGATTTTAAAAATTATTATAAATTGTATTTTCATACTATTTGGTGAGCCATCTGGGGAATATCTATTAATGGCTGCCTATATAAAATTGATTCATATTAATGGACGGTTATGTGAATTTAATAGGAATAATAATATTGAATTGCACCTGAGTTCAGCAGAAGAAAAGTGTCACTATCAAGGGAAGAAATAGTACTGATCTATTATATTACTGTGTCCAGTTCTGGGCACCTCAATTTAAGAAGGATATTGACATGCTGGAAGGTGTGCAGAGGAGGGCAACCAAGATGATCAAGGGTCTGGAAACCAAGCCTTATGAGAAACAGTTGAGGGAGTTGTGTATGTTTAGCCTGGTAAAAAGGAGATTGAGGTGTGATATCATAGAATCAACGAATTGTAGAATTGGAACGGATCATGAGGGTCATCTAGTCAAACCCCCTGCAAAGAAGGAATCTTTTTGTCTAACGTGTGACTCAAACCCACAACCCTGAGAATAAGTCTCATGCTCTACTGACTGAGCTATTCCTGATGGTAAGAGCTGTTTGAGAATGGGGCGGACTCTCTTGGAAGGTGGTGGACTCTTTCCTTGAAGGTTTTAAAGCAGAGGTTGGATGGACATCTATCACGGATGCTTTAGTTGTGATTCCTATATTGCAAGGGGTTGGAGTCAGAGTAGATCCATTGACATTAATGAACCCAGGTTAGTCTTGTCCATTGATTTCAGTGGGTCTATTCTGAGTGGGGTTCAACTGATACATCCTGTTATTGTTAAATTTAAATAGCCATTCATTAATAGATGTATTTATTTATCATTAATTATTAATTATTATTAATCATGGGACGTGGGTGGCGCTGTGGGTTAAACCGCAGAGCCTAGGACTTGCCGATCAGAAGGTCGGCGGTTCGAATCCCCGCAATGGGGTGAGCTCCCGTTGCTCAGTCCCTGCTCCTGCCAACCTAGCAGTTCGAAAGCACGTCAAAGTGCAAGTAGATAAATAGGTACCGCTCCAGCGGGAAGGTAAATGGCATTTCTGTGTGCTGCTCTGGTTTCACCAGGAGCGGCTTAGTCATGCTGGCCACATGACCCGGAAGCTGTACGCCAGCTCCCTCGGCCAATAAAGTGAGATGAGCACCGCAACCCCAGAGTCAGTCACGACTGGACCTAATGGTCAGGGGTCCCTTTACCTTTTACCTATTAATTATTACCACCATGCTGAGCACTTGTGCACTAGTTCAGAAGTAGCATGGAAGCATTTTTACCCAATGCCATTTTGCTTATACCCTTCTTTTGCCTTATAAATATCACTCAGTTCAACCAGCAAGCTCTCCACCTGTTTGTTTTTCGAACAGGCCACAGCCTCCCCACACTCCTCTCCCGCACCAGCTTCTCAAAAGCACGGCAAGCATCTGCTGTTGTTGACCAAATTCCGAGCACGCCAGACAATGCCTTGAAACACTGAGTCCGGGGGTTTAGAGGCCCATGGCCCCACTATTTCAATTAAGACAATTAGCTGTGACCAAGGGCAGCTGCAAAGCTCTAATTAAACCGGCACAAAGTCTAACACAATCCACCATATCACAGAGCAGGTTGCAGCACGCCACCCTGACAACACATGTCGGCCAGATTAAAGCTTTTTAAAATGCAGCCTCCCTTGTTGATCTGCCTCCTGCCTATTCCTGACACATCACCTTCAGCTGTAATCTCTTGTCTTTGAATTCCTCATTAATTTGCCCTGTTTCAGGGGACTCAAAAGGGCTGAAGCAGTGTGTGTGTTAGAGAGACGGGGGGGGCAGCTTCCTAGGCCTTTATTACTATCCTGATCTCTCTTCCCCCCTTCTCTGACATGTCAAATGCAGTTCCCTTTTGTATTGACTTCCCCAAGTGATGCTTTTGACCCTTTTGCTAGCTGTGTTTGTATCCAGGCTGCATTTTGTCTCCTACGTTGTGAGCTGCAATGGATGAAAATGGACAAGCAGGCAGGAGCAAATAAGAGACTTGACTTTTGCATTTCTTGCTCGTTTTGCAGTGGTGGAGACGGACACAGGCTTGACAGACGCTTATAGCAGCCATAATTTGGGGCTTTCGAGCTAATGGCTCCTCAGTATAGATTTTAAACGCTTTGCATATAGAAGGGTCCAGCTTCAATCCCTAGCATCTGATATTCCCCAGCAACTGGTATTTAGAGACATTTGCCTCTGACCCTGGAGGTAACATATACCCTCTACCCATCACTGGTATCCAAAGGTTGCATTTAAGGAGAAGAGCCAGAACACAGTGGAAGAGCATGTGCTTTGCATTCAGAAGGCCACAGCTTCAATCTCCAGCACTCTGTGTAGGGCTGGGAAACACCCCAGTCTGAAATCTTGGAGCACTATATTGATGTTGACAATATAGAGCTACACGGACCAGTGGGTTGACATGGCAGAAGGTTGCTAACCATAAGATAGGATACGAGGGTTTGGGGAACAAACATCACAATTGGAGAGAGATCTGTTGGAATGTAATGTTAAAACACTGTCTAAAATGTGTAAGATATTATTGGAATGGGAGAGAAAGGATAAGCAAGTAACATCCTCAATGATACACTGGGCAATAGATATTGGTTGTAATATAGATATGGAAGCATAGGAATGATTGTGGAATATGGATATAAATTTCACAGCATGCTTTGGTTTAAGCGAAAACTATATGAAAATGTTGATGGTATCTATGTAACACCGAGTAAATTGGTATAAATCAAAATCAAATAAGTGTTGGAAATGCAAAGAGAAAGAAGGTACTGTTCATCATATGTGGTGGTCTTGTAGCAAGGTTAAAGCTTACTGCAAAATGATATATAATGAATTGAAAAAGATGTTCAAAATAACATTTGTTTAAAAAAAAACACAAAAAACCCAGAAGCTTTCCTTTTGGGAATTATGTGAGAAGGTTTATTTTAGCAGAGTTAAACAATCCCCTTTGTAAGTTCATGCAGCTATCAGCTTATTGCTGACTCATCTGAGTTCTACTAATAAAGTTGACTTCCTGGTTAAAAATCCCTTTGAATCCCTCTTAAAGAATACACACACAAATCTGATTCATGTTAATATAAAACTATTTTTACTCTCAGATTCATTCAGGTTTACAGAACTGTACCTGGAAGCAGGCTTAGGTTACATAACAAGCAAATAAACTATACCAGAGGGAAGTTGGTCCTGAGGTGACTGCAACTGAACAGTTAATCTTTCAAAACTACCAGCAACCGACAAACTGGTTGTCACAGCAACCGGTTAGAACATGGAGGCCATTAGTCCTCTGTTGGAATGTTGCACTTGACTGCACCTTTACATCCTACAAATTATAGGGGCAAAACTACCCAAACTGTATAGAATTTTTTTTATGTTTGTGACTACAGCGGCAAGAATGTTATTTGCCCACAAATGGAAAGAAGAAGTCCCGATGAAAGAAGAATGGATACAAAAACTTATGGAATATGCAGAAATGGCAAAACTTACTGGAAAAATAAGAAATCAAGATAACAAACTTTTTATAAAAGAATGGAAATGGTTTATTGAATATTTACAAACGAGCTGTAAACACTGGGAGGATTATTGTAATAACCTGCAGTTTTATAAGAGTAGATTCATCTAAAGTAGATGAGTAAATGAATAAATTAAGTTAATCTGGTATATGCAGGGACTATAATAAATAGGCTTAAGGAACTGCAGAAAGAGGAGGAAGTTGAGTTTTGAAATGTTAAAATATTGTAAAACTATTGGAATGTATATAACTGAAAATCATAAATAAAATTAAAGAAAACCAAAAACAGAATTCCACCAGAGAGCTGGAGCCTCTCTCTGATTGGCTACCAAGACAGCTAGCCGGGGTGGATGGGTGGAGACAGCACTTCGAGAGTACAGTGGTACCTTGGTTTGCATACGTTTTGGATTACAAACACGCCAAACCCGGAAGTGCGTGTCCCGATTTGCTACCTTTTTTTGGATTACAACCCCCTTTTTTTTTTTGGATTACGAACAATTTTTTGGGGGGAGGCCCCATTGGCCAAAGTGTGCCTTGGGTTACAACCTGTTTTGGTTTACAAATGGATCTCCAGAACGGATTATGGTTGTAAACCAAGGAACCACTGTATCTTTCTGAGAGACTGTTCAGATAGTCTGAGATGGTTTGAGGAGGGTGTGTGAGAGAGAGTTGGCTCTTATCTATGTAAGTGTACATAGATAAGTGTATGTAAGTGTAACATCCACTATGAAGAAAACAGAGAAAGGAGTCTCTGGGATAGAAAGACAGTGTTTAGTGTCTTGGGAGAGTATTCAGACAGGAGTTATCTGGGGAGCTGAGTTTAGGGTCGCCATACAACCAGAATTTCCCAGACATATCCGGAATGCTGCAGTGTCCGGGCAGAAATCAGCTAAATTTCCAGGGAAATGGAAGTGTCATTTTTGCCAATTATCCTCAAAAATAGCTCAAAAACATCCAATTTATTTGTGATTTTACAAGAATAGCTCAACAACTTTTCACTTTTTGAAATATGGCAACCCTAGCTGAGTTTAAGCAAGGATAAGTAGAGTTGTAAGCAGTTTACTTAAGTCTCATTCTTGCCAGGAGGAGAGAGGTCTAGAAAGAGAAGACTGCCAAACCAATTAAGAGGGGTGATCCCCTGGATCAGTTACACTATTTGAAGTACCTCAGGGGTGTGATTGTTAAAAAGTTGGAAAACTGACCAAAAAGTGCCACCTTGTTTAAGAACCAAAGTATTAAGCTGTAACACCTGTGCAACACCTATCTTAATAAACTGAAGTGAATTAACTTGAAACAAGCTAAGCATTTACCATTTACCATCTAGTCTAGATACCTGTAACATCTAACTGAAAACAAGCAAGAAAAGTTTAAAAGAAGCTGGACTTCCGGGTTAGCACCTCCGGCAATGGCGGATTTCCTCTGACCAGGAGGAATCTGCTTCGTGAGAATTAGGGTCTGGACCGCCGCGGCGAGGCGGAGACGCACCAAAAACCACAGGCGGGAGAAGCCTGTGGACGTGGGATTCGGCTGGCACCTTTTGCGCCTCCCCTACTCGCGGGGAAACCCGGTTTCGGGGATCTGGAGTGACGTGGGGTGAATGGCGCAGTGCTTCGAATCGACTGCTCTTTTCACGGAGTGAAGCCGCATTGCTGTTGCCGGAGAGCGCTGACTTTTTCCTGCGGACAATTGGATTTTAAACAACTGCCCGTGAGTAGAACGGAAAATTGGACTATGAAACTTTTTAATTTGGCACCGAAGCAGGAAGGTCTAAACAGGAAGTCCGCCTTCCGCTTTTGTTAATAGATTGAAGCAAAGACATTGCAAGCTAGAGTCTGGAAAGTCATTTGTAAAGGACTAAATTTCCATCAGTTAAAATTACTAAACCCCCCTTGGAAGCAGGAGAAGAGGGGGAAAATCTTAGACTGTTTAAACCTGCAGAAGAGAGAGTAAAGAAAGATAAATTTCCACCGTCTTGAACCTGGGAGTGGGGTGTCAGAGACAGACG